TTTAAAGTATATCGTCGACCCAAGTGCGCCGCATGCTGGCTACCCGATGGTCAGAAAAGCTATAAAGGCAGCTCACCAACGTTGGCTTGTACCAGTCGTTTTGCGTTTGTGCCGCGGGTTCGAAGATGGCACTGACCGCATGCGCATGCGAACTTTAGTTGCAGAAAACCTGTGCAAGCACTACGACAATATAGATTCATCTGGCATGTATCTCGATGCCCGAAGTGCGCCTGGTTTGCTCGAGGCTGTAGAGACTGCTTTGGTTCCATGCCAATCGCTCTCATCGCATGCTGCACACGGCGAAAAAATGTTCAATTGTGAATAAATTCTAAATGCGGTGGCACGTGGCCCAGGGCGCACGGCGGCTGAACCCTAAGTTTTCTTGGCGCTACCAAAGCGAGGATCTCATGCGTCACATCGTCAAAGTAGGTTCGACGATCGCGGTTGGCACGCCCAGTCTAAAGCTCAGCCAGAAGATTTGTGAGAGGTGGCGAATTGGCCGCTAGAGCTTCGACTTTGCCAATCGCCGATGCGGGGTGAGAGGGCGCTGGGGCGGGGGGGGGGGGGGCGGGCGGGGGCGGGGAAGGGCGGCGAGGGGGGGGGCGGGGGATATCAGCGCGATGATTAGGAGGAGGGGGGGAGGAGGAGGAGGAGGAGGAAGAGAAAGAGGACGTTAAACTTGAGACCTGGTTTTCTGTGCACGCGGGGGTTGCGGATTTCGAGATCGTTCGCCCATCGTGGTAGCGCGCCGTCCTGTGCCGCGCTGCTCGGGGACTCTAGCAGGCGACGGGCCAAGGAGAGTTCTCTCCCTCCTCCCCCTTCTCGCTCCTCACCCCATCTTCCGCAGTCGAGAGCATGCGAGAGGGGCCGTTGCATCCTTGCCTGTTCCGCCCACCCCGAGGCTTCCAGGGTCACTGCTGACGTCCACCCACCACCCTTGGGGCTGATGACGGTGATGACGATAATGATGATTATGTTGATGAAGATGGTGATGATGATGATAATCATGTTGATGACGGTGATGACCATGATTGTGATGATGATGATGTTGGTGATGGTTGTGATGACGCTTGTGATGATCGCGATGCTGATGATCATGACGACGACTGTATTAGATGATGATGGTGATGGCGGTGGTGATGACCATGATGCTGAGGATGATGATAATGAAGATGTTGTTGATGATGATTGGTGGCGATGATGATATATATTCACAACGATATCAAGCTCCATATAAATAGTTCGGTTAACGCAATATCGCTGTTCGCGGAATGGGAAGCGACAAACGTTTGACAAACGTTTGTCAAGCGTTTGTCAAACGTTTGTCGTTGCGACTTTCGGTCGCGACCGAAATTCCGCTACCAAATTTCATATGTTTTGTTCTGCATTTTTTGTTGTTGCAGTTTTTTGCATCGTTCTTCCGCTACCCATTTTGACTTGCAGCGCATGTGCTTTCGCGACCCAAATTCACGAGGAAAACTCTGCGACCGAAATCCGTGATCATGACGAATCGCTACCCAACTTTTTCGGTCGCGCACCTTCTGGGTAGAGGCCCGCCCGGGCTACGTGGACATGCTATGCCATCCCGACATGCGCAGCCATCCCGACATGCGCACCCGTGCGAAGCTCGAACAATGGGGCCCGCCCCGGGTCCGTCGGCTGCGGGCGAGCCCGCGCCGCGGCCTCGCGGCGACGCCGGAACCCCTCGCCCCCAAGGGTCACTGTTGCCGGGCCGGACGAAAGGGGGGGATTGGGAAAGGGGGGGGGTACGAAATTTGCTGCATGCAGCTGGTTCGGCCTCACCGAGAGGCCCACTCCTCGATACATAGCCGCCTCCGGCGCCAGGAGGCGCCGGGAAAATCAGCTACGTGAGCTGATTCTCAAACCCCCCCTTTTGCCTCCCCCCCTTCGCTGGACCCGAATTTGGTGCAGTGGGCGGCGCACGGCGCGTCGCGTCGCGTCGTTTGCAATTCCACGTCCGCTGCGTTTTCGTGCGCGCCACGGGCGAGGACGCGGTGGAGCACTGCCTGGGCTGCGTCCGTCTGCGCGGGCACTGGCAGCAGCGGCTTCGACATGCCGCCCCGCGCACAGTCGAGGACCGCGGGGCGGACTTCTCTCTGGTCGAGGCGGGTTCCTGGCTCCTGGACGTAGTTTTCGTCGTCATCGCGGGCTGCTGACGAGGACGCGTCACGACGGGCATGGGACCAAGCGGTAATTCAGGCACCTGAAGGGCACGCAGGAACGTTGTGAGCCCTCGACACCGCCTAGGCCTACTGAGGTTCCTTGGTCATGAGGCGCCGGCTTTCCGCCTGTTGGGCATGCGCGCGAGCAGGCATGATTGGGCGCGTGTGTGAGCAACCACTTTTGACCATTTGTGCAAGCAACGATTCTTGGGAACTTGCGCGAGCAGCCAGTCTTATTCCGCCTCCCCTATATCATTGGGCGACGGAGGCTAGCAGTTGCTCGCTGATTGCTGGTGTGGCCACGCTGGCGGCGAATTTTTTGCGACGCGTTGATCCCTGCGAATATGAGACTGACCCCCGCTCGCCCCGTCCGTATGTTTTGGACCAGCCTCGTGGCATTCCGCGCTGACTGTGTGAATTGTCCCGCCCTGATTGTTGGGGATTCGTTGGTGATTGCCAGTGGTTTGGCTGCCCCGAGCTCGTTCCTCCTCTATACCCATCCCTTCGTCGTCGTTTTCTGATTGCCCCCCTCCCCCTGGCGGTGCGCCGTCCTAACCTACGTTTTAACGGCCGTTGCAATTTCCAGAGTGACGCGCGTCGGAGTAAACAGGACGCTTGCTCCCCACATGTCTGGCTACGCGGTTCGCGCCCTGTCTCCCACGTCGTGGTTGACGTGTTTTTCTTTCCTGGGTTTCACGCCTGCTTTGCTGTGCGCCGCAAGAGCTACGACAACGAAACATGGCCAGACCATCTTTCATGGGCCAGGCGACAGGCGGCGTGCCAGTATTTGAAGATTCCGTGTTGTAAGTTTCATAGCGGAGATGTAGATTTGCGGTTGATGAAAACATGTACGTACATTGTGTCACATCGCCGTGGTTCCCAGATTGTTTACTTCCCGCGCTAGTCATAGGTTACCCGCTGTCGGATGTGAGTATCCGTTGCGTTGTCTCGGCATTCGCGCCCACGTGCACGTGTGCGCTGTTCTTATGTGTTGTCCATGTGTTTTGCTCATTCGCCCGGCCCAGACTGCTTCATGCTTGGTGTGCGCCCGCGTGTTCGTCGCCACTACGGCGCCGATGGGTGGAGTCGGTTTCAAGCAGTGACGAAGCGTCCCGGCGTGCCTCTAGACTTACCAAATATTGTTCTAAGAATTGTGGTTTCCACGAAATTGTCTTAGAACAGTTCTGGCTGGGATTGTCTTTTTTAGCACATCGGGTTTAAGTTATAAGAACACTGGTTTCATGATTAGAACATTTCTGGGTTCTAAGAACAGTTTGTGTTAGGCCTATAGGAATGCCGGGACGGTCGGTCCCTGCTCAATATGTTCCTTGAAGTGGTGCGCGCGCAGTCTTGGGTGTTTGGGGGCAAATGGCTTGAGATGGTGGTTAGCGTCCCCTCTCCTCGGGCCCCTCTTAAACTCACCTTGACGCCATTTGACGCCCTCTTTGGCCGTCTCGGGAGCCTCTCGGGGGCTCGATGTAGCATCGTTGGCACTTGCCTGCGTGCTCGCGGGGGCACTCTCGGAGCCTCGTGGGGCCTCTTGAGGTAATCTTGCCTTCTGGGCCCTGGGGAGCATCTGGGGGCCTCTCGGAGGTCTTTTCGGGTCCTCTTGGAGACTTTCTGGCGGTGTGGGCGGCCACCTGTCGGGAAAGGGTTCGAAAGTTCGCTCAGTGCGGGTTTCCCTTCGTCGGACCATTTTCGGGGGTTTGGAAGCTGATTGGGACGCCTCTGGGGCCGTCCTGGTGCCCTCTTGGGCCGTCTCGTGGCCGTCCTGTGGGGCTCCTGGCCTGAATCGGTAATCTTGTGGGTTGAATGGGCCGTCTTGGGCGGTCGGAATATTGAAAAGGCAGTAACGCCAAAATTTGTCAGCAACCGTTGGAAATCAATGAATGTTGCCTCCTGGGCCGGCCTTTTGGAGCGGCATTTGACAATTCAGAGGCCAGTTTGAAGCCTTTTGGAGGTGCACGGTGGCCACGGTGACTCCTGCCAGCCATGGATCCCGACCAGATGACCTCTTGGAGCTCCTTGGGGGTCCCCTGGGGGCGCACTCGGGGGCCCTGGAGACCGCCCCTCCTGGGAATTCCGGCATCCGGACACCGCCCGGGGCACTTCCCAGGGGCCGCCCAGGGACCGCCCGGGGCAGTTATTCACCGGGCGCGCTCCACGACTCGCAAAGTGCCTATTCGCAAACGCCCGAAAAACACACGCTCGCCTCGATGTAATTGATCGTAGATCCCCCGCGGGCCCATCGGGGCGAATGACTGCGAAGAGGGCGCTGTGGAGCAGGAGGCGGAGGTGGGGGCGGACGAGGCACAGTCAAAATCCATGGGAAAGACGCGGTGCTTCCGCAAGGGCACCTTTGCATCCTTGCTTCTTCGGCCAACTGTTGGCAAGTTCCAACATCCAAGGGCGACCAAGTTGGAAGGTCCGAGGGTCTTGCATCCTCACCTCGCGTCCTCACTATCGATTTTGATTGAAAGGGGGATTGAGCAGGGCTAGTCGGGAACATAACGGACCAAAGTCCGAGAAAAACGCAGAGGTTTGCCGCCGCCCCCGTGACGAGCCCGATGCTTCTGGGGGACTCGCTTGTTCCCCCCGTTCGGCCCAGCCTGGCGCACTGCGAGAGCTCGGCAGTTCCTGCATTTGCCCCCCATGGCCAGGCCATCCGCCGATCCTTGATGCGGTATACAATTCTCTGACCCGGCGCTGCGAAGTGCACCGCCGCACAAGCCCCCTTGTTTCTGGGGGGGCTCGCCTCTGCCCCTCCCCCTCGGCTTAGCAACAGCAGTGGAGCGACGACTGCCCGTCCGCGGCGAGGCGGCGAGCAGGGCCGCGGTGACACCTGCGCCGACACTTGCGCCGAAGCCGCAGGACCGGCGAAACCCAAAAATCGGGGGACCCGGGGAGGGGGTCGACCCGACGGCTCTGGCGTTGCGTGTTGGGGGTGCGATGAATGGTGCGGGAGCGAGAGAAAAGTTCACACTTCGCGCTCCTCCGGGGCCCTACACGGGCCCCCTGGGGCACGAAAAGGGCGCGAACGGTGCACGCTGTTTCGCCCCCCCCCGATGTATCGCCCCCCCATGTAGCAACGCCCAAACACCGACGACGACGGTGGCCGTGGCGAGGGCGGCGGCGGCGCGGAGATGGGCAGAGCGAGGGCGGCGGCGGCGAGGCCGGCGACGGCGTGGGGGTGGGGGGAGCGAGGGCGGCGGCGACGAGGGCGACGGCGGCGCCGGCGGGAGCGGCGGCGGCGAGGGGATGGGAGGGGGGGGGAGCAAGAAAGGCGCACCCGTCCAGCGTGCCAGTTCAGGGGCTCTGTAGGGCCACGTCCCTGCATCCCGGCCCCCTTTGGTCCCCCGCCCGCCTGATTTCCCTTGTCGGTGGTTCACCAGAGGGGATGGTGGTGGCAGGAGCTGGTTGGGCCAACCGAAGAGGTCGGGGGTGGAGGCGGCAGCAGGAGCATGGGGACATAAGGCGAGTCGGAAGAGGACAGGAGCAGGATGCGCACTGGGCAGAAAGGGAAGAAGTTGTCTCGGCTTTATCCGAAGACAAACACTTATCAGAAAACGCGAGGGCTTCTGAGAAGCCCCGCCGCAGTCTGAGAAGATCTGCCCTTTTCGTTTCCCCCCTGGGTTCGCCGCCGACGGGAGGAAGGGAAAAAGGAACCAACGCGAAAGAAGGAGGGGCTGAACGGAGCCCATATAGTCTGCCGCCTAGGACGCAGTGCCTGGAGCAGCTCCGACCACGACGCGGCAGCGGGTGGTGGCCGTGGAGGCTTCTGACGCGTTGGCTTTGGGGAGTGCGTTATGTTGTGCAGTGGTTCGTCTCTTTTCATGGCTCCACCCCCTTCCAGCCACCTCGTCCTCGTCCTCTCACCTTCAGCTGCCCGATATCTACCTTCTTCCTGCACTGGCAGTCTCTTCCCGTGCACGTTTCGCCTCTGATCTCATCTTGGCTTGAGAAATTCGGCACGGCGATAAAGAGGAGGAGGAGGAGAAGGAGGGCAGAAGGAGGGCAGAAGGGAGGGGCCACGGCGAAGAGGAGGGTAGAAGGGGGACCAGGACGAAAAGGGATGGAGGAGGAGCAGCACCAGTAGCAGCATAATCAGGAGCAGGAGGATTGTAAGGATAGGAAGGAGGAAGGCGAGGGGGGGGGCACGGGGAGTGTGGGAGAGAGGGGGAAGGGAGAGTGGCGGGGAGGGAGGGAGGGAGGGGGGGAGGGGGCAGGGAGGGAGGGAAGGGGGCAGGGAAGGGAAGGGGCGAGGGAAAAGAGGGAGCAGGGGAAGGAGGAGGGGAGGGAGGGAGGAGCAACGGCAGCCCCGCCCAGGACGCCCTGTTCGGGGCAGCCCCGCCCACGACGCCGCGGCCTGTCGAGGCCATGGAGGCCACCGACGCGTTGGTTTGGGCGAGTGTGTTGCCGCGGCGTCTCGTGTTCATGCACATCCCAATATTGCAGCCTATTCGTCCTCCTCCGCCTCCGCCTCTTCCCCCTCCTCCTCCTCCTTGCTCGGCCAGATCTACATCAAGCAGATCGGAGCCTCAGGTGCAAACGCCCTCAAGCGGATGCGGGACAGCCCCCACCACCATTACAGGAAGATACCGAGAATGACGAGAGTGTTGCACCGCCTAGTGCGCCGCCCAAGTCGGTGTTATTCAAACCACCCGGCATCACCTCGGCTGGCTCGACACGTCTAGTCGACAACGATCGTTTGCGTGCCCTGGCCGAGCAGATTCGGGCCAAGGAGGCAGCCGCACAGTCAGCTGACAGACATGAATGTTTTGCCTAAGGTTTTGTAATCCTCGTCCTCCAATTCTGTCCGTAGGATTTGTGGCTCAAGTTGAAAACCTTGCCCTGGGGCTCTCAACTTGGACGCAGCCGACAGGGCGGCTCAAGCGTCCACAGCGATTCCACGGCCCGCTCCCGAGGCTGACCAAAGAGCCACCCGTTGGACAGCTCTCTCGCACGCACCACGTTATTCCCCACATGTTTCGTGGGGTTCTGGTTTTCTTCCCCACATGTTTCGTGGGGTTCTGGTTTTCTTCCCTGCCGCGGCGCACCCGCGTCTCACCTCACCTCACACCTCATCTCCTCTCTCCTCCTTCCTCTCCTCACCCGCGCTCAACGCGTGCACGGCAAGTACATGAGACACGCGTCTACATACGGCCGCGCGCATGCACACATTCGCACACAACACACACACACACCATACAACGCTAGTGCGCGCCTGGCGTGATCACTGCAGCGTCCATTGAGGCGTGTGCGCGACATAGTGGGCACCCACATGAGACACGTCCCGATATAGCCGCACACGCATCATACACATACACATACCATGCCATATACAAGACGTGCGTGTAGGATTCGCAGTGGCTGGCAGGAGGCTCTATGCAGGCCATGGCGCAGGGCACGGCAGGCGTGGCACTTTCTCGACACCGGAGGGGGTGCGCAGGGGGTGGTCTCTCACCGCGGTTCCTATACGCGCCAATGTCGCAGGGCCTAGCAGGCGTGGCACTTTCTCGACACCAGAGGGGGTGCGCAGGGGGTGGTCTCTCACCGCGGTCTCTATACGCACCAATGTCGCAGGGCCTAGCAGGCGTGGCACTTTCTCGACACCGGAGGGGGTGCGCAGGGGGTGGTCTCTCACCGCGGTCCCTATACGCGCCAATGTCGCAGGGCCTAGCAGGCGTGGCACTTTCTCGACACCAGAGGGGGTGCGCAGGGGGTGGTCTCTCACCGCGGTCTCTATACGCGCCAATGTCGCAGGGCCTAGCAGGCGTGGCACTTTCTCGACACCGGAGGGGGTGCGCAGGGGGTGGTCTCTCACCGCGGTCCCTATACGCGCCAATGTCGCAGGGCCTAGCAGGCGTGGCACTTTCTCGACACCGGAGGGGGTGCGCAGGGGGTGGTCTCTCACCGCGGTCCCTATACGCGCCAATGTCGCAGGGCCTAGCAGGCGTGGCACTTTCTCGACACCAGAGGGGGTGCGCAGGGGGTGGTCTCTCACCGCGGTCCCTATACGCGCCAATGTCGCAGGGCCCAGCAGGCGTGGCACTTTCTCGACACCGAGGGGGTGCGCAGGGGGTGGTCTCTCACCGCGGTCTCTATACGCGCCAATGTCGCAGGGCCTAGCAGGCGTGGCACTTTCTCGACACCGGAGGGGGTGCGCAGGGGGTGGTCTCTCACCGCGGTCCCTATACGCGCCAATGTCGCAGGGCCTAGCAGGCGTGGCACTTTCTCGACACCGGAGGGTGCGCAGGGGTCTCTCACCGCGGTCTCTATACGCGCCACTGTCGCAGGGCCTAGCAGGCGTGGCACACGCTCTCACCGATACGCGCCACTAGGGGGGCGCGCAGGGGGTGGCGGGGCGGCAGCGGTTCTATGCGCACTCTCTATACGCGCCAATGTCGCAGGGCCTAGCAGGCGTGGCACTTTCTCGACACCGGAGGGGGTGCGCAGGGGGTGGTCTCTCACCGCGGTCCTATACGCGCCAATGTCGCAGGGCCTAGCAGGCGTGGCACTTTCTCGACACCGGAGGGGGTGCGCAGGGGGGGTCTCTCACCGCGGTCTCTATACGCGCCAATGTCGCAGGGCCTAGCAGGCGTGGCACTTTCTCGACACCGGAGGGGGTGCGCAGGGGGTGGTCTCTCACCGCGGTCTATACGCGCCAATGTCGCAGGGCCTAGCAGGCGTGGCGACACAGGGGGTGCGCAGGCTCTCACCGCATACGCGCCAATGTCGCAGGGCCTAGCAGGCGTGGCACTTCCTCGACACCAGAGGGGGTGCGCAGGGGGTGGTATCTCACCGCGGGCTCTATACGCGCCAATGCCGCAGGTAGCAGGCGTGGCACTTTCTCGACACCAGAGGGGGTGCGCAGGGGGTGGTCTCTCACCGCGGTCTTCATACGCGCCAATGTCGCAGGGCCTGCGGTCCCTATATGCGCCAATGTCGCAGGGCCTAGCAGGCGTGGCACATTCTTGACACCAGAGAGGGTGCGCAAGGAGTGGTCTCTCACCGCGGTCCCTATACGCGCCAATGTCGCAGGGCCTAGGAGGCATGGCACTTTCTCGACACCGGAGGGGGTGCGCAAGGGGGTGGTCACTCACCGCGGTCCCTATACGCGCCAATGTCGCAGGACCTAGCAGGCGTGGCACTTCCTCGACACCAGAGGGGGTGCGCAGGGGGTGGTCTCTCACCGCGGTCCCTATACGCGCCAATGTCGCAGGGCCTAGCAGGCGTGGCACTTTCTCGACACCGCAGGGGGTGCGCAAGGGGGTGGTCTCTCACCGCGGCCCCTATACGCGCCAATGTCGCAGGGCCTAGCAGGCGTGGCACTTTCTCGACACCGGAGGGGGTGCGCAGGGGGTGGTCTCTCACCGCGGTCTCTATACGCGCCAATGTCGCAGGGCTTAGCAGGCGTGGCACTTTCTCGACTCCAGAGGGGGTGCGCAGGGGGTGGTCTCTCACCGGGGTGGTCCCTCACCGCGGCCGCTATGCACGACGGTCGTCCAGGGCATAGCAGGCGCGGCATTTTCTCGACACCATAAAGGCTGCGCAGGGGGTGGTATCTCACCGCGGCCGCCATGCACGACGGTCGGCCAGGGCCTAGCAGGCGTGGCACTTTCTCGACACCATAGAGGGTGCGCAGGGTGTGGTCCCTCACCGCGGCCGCTGGCTGGCTCGAATCTGTCCTCGATGGAGGATAGAAGGCTAGGAAGAGGGAGCAGGTTCAAGCAATATGGCGTTGGATGACACAGAGAGGAACATTCGCGACGAGGGCTGAGAACGCAGAATTGCGCATATATGATAAACTTAGGCAAGCACATATGATTTAAATTAAGTATATGGGGTTCCTCGGTAGCGTAATTCCCTGCCGCGTCGTACCCGCGTCTCCCGCACACACCTCCCTCTCCCGCAAAGCGTGGCAGACGTGACACACATACGTACTTACACAGGCACACCGACACAGACGCATACACACAGACACACAGACCCACACACACACAGACACAACACACACATACACACAGACACTCCCTGGCCCACGCGCAACACCTGCACGGCACGTACATGAGACACGCGTATCACACTTCACAACACAGCGCAGCCAAGCACAACACAGCGCTGCTCAGCACAGCTCAGCACAGCAGAGCACACAGGGCAGGCGCGCAGGGCACGGCTGGCGTGACCGCATCGCACCGCACACACACACACACACACACACACACCACACGTCGGAGAGCGTGACAGGCCCCACATAGACGGGCACGTGGCAGGCGTGGCACTTTCTCAAGACCAGAAAGGGTGCGCAAGGGGCTGGTCACTCACCGCGGTCCCTACTCGCGCCAATGTCGCAGGGCCTAACAAGCGTGGCACTTTCTCGACACCACAAGGGGGGGCGCAGGGGGTGGTCTCTCACCGGAGTCCCTATACGCGCCAATGTCGCAGGGCCTAGCAGGCGTGGCACTTTCTCGACACCGGAGGGGGTGCGCAAGGGGGTGGTCTCTCACCGCTGCCCCTATACGCGCCAATGTCGCAGGGCCTAGCAGGCGTGGCGCTTTCTCGAGACCAGAAGGGGTGTGCAGGGGTGGTCTCTCACCCCGGTCTCTATACGCGCCAATGTCGCAGGGCCTAGCATGCGTGGCGCTTTCTCGACACCAGAGGGGGTGCGCAGGAGGTGGTCTCTCACTGCGGTCTCTATACGCGCCAATGTCGCAGGGCCCAGCAGCCGTGGCACTTTCTCAGCAGGCGTTGCATTCTCTCGACACCAAAGGGGGTGCGCAAGGGGGTGGTCTCTCACCGCGGTCTCTATACGCGCCAATGTCGCAGGGCCTAGCAGGCCTAGCAGGCGTGGCACTTTCTCGAGACCAGAAAGGGTGCGCAGGGGGTGGTCTCTCACCCCGGTCTCTAGACGCGCCAATGTCTCAGGTCCCAACAGGCGTGGCACTTTCTCGACACCAGAGGAGGTGCGCAGGGGGTGGTCTCTCACTGCGGTCTCTATACGCGCCAATGTCGCAGGGCCCAGCAGGCGTGGCACTTTCTCGACACCACTAGCAGGCGTTGCATTCTCTCGACACCAAAGAGGGTGCGCAAGGGGGTGGTCTCTCACCGCGGTCCCTATACGCGCCAATGTCGCAGGGCCTAGCAGGCGTGGCACTTTCTCGACACTAGAGGGGGTGCGCAGGGGGTGGTCTTTCGCCGGAGCCCCTTTACGCGCCAATGTCGCAGGGCCCAGCAGGCGTGGCACTTTCTCGACACCAGAAGGGGTGCGCACGGGGTGGTCTCTCACTGCGGTCTCTATACGCGCCAATGTCTCAGGGCCTAGCAGGCGCGGCACTTTCTCTGGTCTCTCACCGCGAATCCTACGCGCGCCAATGTCGCAGGGC